CCGCCCGCCGCGCCCAGGAGGCCATGCGCGCCGAGCGCGAGCGCAGACGGCTCGCCGCGGCCGGCGTGCCCGAGGTGAAGCAGCAGCAGCAGCAGCAGCAGCAGCAGCAGCAGCAGCAAGGACCATCGGACGACAAGCGGAGCGACTGGGTGCGCGAGTGGGACGAGAAGGAGAAGAAGGCGCTCGAGGACGGCAGGGGGCTGAGCGGCCTCATCGAGGACACGATCAAGGAGGTGTTTGGCTTCGGCAAGACGGGCGAGGAAGCGAGCGACGGCCCGGTCGGCATCCAGGAAGATCCCAAGAAGAAGGACCAAAAAAGGGGATGAACGGAAGGCTATTTGAGCTCTACGCAGCACGAACCACCTACAAACTGCCGTCTTCTGATGATTTTTACCGACGATGGGTGCTTGGGAAGACGGCGCGGGCTGCCGGAAACCTTGTATCAACATGTATCACCACACCACGCCAAAAAAAAAAAAAAAAAAAAAAAAGGGAATCGAATGGCTTCGCTGCCCCGCAGCAGTGGGAGCGAGGGAAAGGCCCAGACGGTTTTTTTTTTTGGTGCTGCGACCCTGTTGGTGTTCGTCTTCGGGATGATGAAGGACTAATGGGGAAAGGTCCCATCATTATTTGCCTCTCGTGCTTCTGGAAGCTCCCGGATCGTCGAGGAACGTGGGGAAACGAACAGCACCACTGCTGGGGATCGTAAAATGGCACCAGGGCTTGACTCGCACCACGCCTCTATCCGTGACAAAGCAGACGCCGAGCAATGTTTTCTCAGCTCCCGGACCGGCGGGCTGGTTGGTGGTGCCTCGGGACCAGGCAGTTGAGGGTCGCGTGGCGGCCGTGGTGTTGCTCCCGCTTAATCTGTCTTGTCGGCATTTGACGGGCTCTCATTCCGGTCTGTGGGTACCAGGACATGGAGGCGATGGGCGCTAATGCGACGCAGGGGTCGCTGGTAGTTCAGACGGGCAGGGCCGCGCCAAGGAAAATCTCCTGCAGGCTGGCGGCGCCCCGCTGGCTTTGCTCTTCAGGTGCGACGACAAAGACCCAAGACGAACTAGTCCGTACTAGACGGGGACGGACACACGCAGGCCATATCACGGTGGGTGAGGGAGAATGTCACAGACCCTGGCTGTTTCGAGGCCCCAATCAGAAGAGAAAGAGGGGAAGAGCTCAGCTGCCGTGTGTTTGTTTGGTGGGTGGTGTCGACAAGGGCGGGAGAAAGAGAAAGAAACAAAAATAAAACGAAGCAAGGTCGAACCCAAGCACCCCCTCGGGCAGGATGGGATGAAGTGGATGAACTCGAACGCTCGCTCGCCCTTCCGTGTTCCGCCCGACACTCAATCCGTTTCTCTTCCCGGTTGAGGACACGAGGGCGAGCGGGCGCAGCGCTGGCCTTCTTTGCTCTTGTGTGCGTGTATGTTTTTTTCCATTGGGTGGCGCGGAGGATCCGAAAATTGCTGACGGCCCCAACACAAACCCCGTCCTCTTTCCAGCGATCCGCGAACTCGTCTCGGGCACCACTTTGACCATCTCCCCCAGGAAGAAAGAGACAGGAACAAACAAAATCCGACGACGCGCTACACCTAATAGCTACTCCCATCGCGACACCGCGCTCGCCGTCCTGCCCTGAAAAAAAAAAAGAAGAAAAAGTCGCAAGCGGTGTCGCACGGAAAACGCAGAGGCGGCAGCAGCAAACTCCGAGGGGGAGGAGCCTGCCTGGCGTTTTGCCTGTTGGGACGGGCGCCGTGGCCTCGCCAGTCTTGGTTGGCTGTCTCTTGCGCCGAGCCGCACAGCGCGCGCCATCGGGAAGCCGCCCTCCCGTGCTGGGTGTGTGTGTCGTCGTTCGGCGGGCGGCACGGCACGGTCGATGCCATGATGAGCGGGTTTGGCTCCCAGCCGCTGCAGATGCAGCCCCAACCGCCGCCCAAGAGGCCCCACGGGCCCAGGCTCTACCATAAGAAGAGTAAGACGGGGTGCTACCGGTGCAAGGGGAGGAGAGTCAAGGTAAGCCAGCGGTTGTGTTGTGTGTGATATGCTATTTGTTTGGGTTTCCTTCCTATGCTGGGTCATTGAGGCTGCATCGCCGTTCAAGGATGGCTCTGCAGGTGTTGGCCATCAGCGCACCACGAACCATCAGTGCCGCATCATGTAACCCCTTTAAATTGACATCAATGCCACCTCACACTCCTACTAACAGTCTTGTCTCACTCCGCCACCCGTCAAGTGTGACGAGAAGCGTCCCGTATGCGGGGGCTGCAGCAGACACCTGGTCGAATGTGTCTACCCGACGGCCACGGCCGCGCCAGGCGGCGACGGCGTCCGACACCGGCGGACAAGGGCCGCGTCCTCCCGCAGCAGCGGTGAGCCACAACGCCAGCCACAACGCCAGCCACAGCAACAGCAACAGCAGCAGCAAGCAGCGGCGCGGCCGTCTCTGGACACCGTCGCCCTGGAGCCCTCCCTGGGCTCGCCTACCGCGGGCGGCGGCGGGCAGCAGCACGGGCGAGGGCCGTCGCCCGAGGACGACGAGGACATCGCCCCGCCCGAGTGCCGCGAGCGCCGCGTCACCGAGATGCGGTTGCTGTACCACTACCTCATGACCCAGGCCCGCACCTTCAGGCGGCCCTTCAACCTGGCCTCGCTGCCGGGCACCGGCGCCAGCCCGGCCGGCACGGCGGCCTCGTCGCCCGCCACGGCGGCGACGCCCACCACGGCCCACAGCAGCACGTGGACCGTGGCGTCGGCCGGCAGCGGTAGTGGCAGCGGCAGCGGCAGCAGCCACACCAACAACCCGTTCGGCAGCAGCAGTCCCTTTAGCCACCACCACCACCACCACCACCAACACCTGCAGCAGCCTGGGCCGCACCACCACCACCCCATTGCCCACCCCCATCCCCAGCCGCAGCCGCCGCCGGCGGGGTCCGAGACGTTTGTGTGGAGCGTCGAGACCATCGAGATGGCCTTTGAGAGCGACGCCATCCTCTACATCCTCCTGGCCCAGTCGGCCCTCTTGTCGTGGGCCGAGGCGGTCGCGGCCCTGCCGCCGGCCGAGGCCGAGCGCGGTGCCGGCCACGGCTACGAGAACGTGGCCGACCCGGACTGCCACCGCTGGCGCCACCTGCAGCGTCAGTACGCCGCCATGGCCCTGCGCGAGCACCGCCGCGCCGTCGCCGGCCTGAGCGTCGAGGAGGTGACGTCGGCGCAAGACGGCCCCGGCCCGGCCGCAGTCGGCTTCTCCTCCCCCACGGCGACGCAGACGCCGCCCGGCCGCGCCGATCACCACCACCACCACCAGCCGCCACCGCCGCCGCCAAGCCTGTCGTCCTCGCCGGCCGACTACGTCTGCATGTCGAGCCTCATGATCCTCAGCCACGCCTTCGCGCTGGTGCAGACGGTACCGACGCGGCCGCGCTGGACGCCGCCGCTCGAGTGGCTGCAGATGGGCCACGGCGCTGGCCAGGTGCTGGGCGTGGCCAAGGGCATGCTGCGGCCCGGCCGCGACCGCATGATGCGCTTCTTGAGCGCCCAGCCGCGCTTCGACGGCGACGACATCTTCACCGAGCCCAACCGCGCCCCGCTCATGTGGCTGCTCGACCGCCCGCCGCCCCTGCGGCGCGGCGGGGGGGAGGGGGAGGAGGGGAGTGATGGTGATTATGACGACGATGACAACGTCGGGCCCCGCTCGCCGCCGCCCGACGAGGGAGCTGCTACCCTTGACCCCGACACGCCCGAACGGGTGGCGCCGCCGCCGCACATGGACGAGGAGGTCGCCATGGCCGACAGGGACGGCGGGCGGCACCAACACGGCGACACGGACGACGATGCCAGCGCCGCCTCTGCACCCTCAAACCCGCACCCGTCCCACTCCCCCTCCCCGACCACTTCCCCCCACCCCTCCGACGCCCCCTCCCCTCCGACAGACACAGAACTCTCCGACCCAGACACCCGCGCCGTCTACGAGCGCGTCCTCTCCTATATCGGCTGGACCGAGCGCGCCGTGTGCCGGCACGTGGCGGACCCGACGACGACGGGCGAGGCGAACAACAACAACAACAACAACAACGCAGCAGTGGAGCCCCTCTTCGCCGTGTGCCGGCGCTTCGCCGCCTTCGCCGTGTGGACGCCCGAGGCCTTCCACGAGTTCCTGCGCGCGCGCCGCCCGCGCGCCCTCGTCGTGCTCGCCTACTTCTTCGCCCTCTGGATCCCCTTCCGGGACGTCTGGATGATCGGCCCCGCGGGCCTGGACCAGGTTCGCGCCATCCGCGGCGCCCTGCCGCCGCGCTGGCGGCCCAGGCTGGACCCGCTCGCGGCCAGGTACGGCATCGCGTGGGGGGAGTGAAGGGGTGGACCTTTGAGGAGGAATGAGGGTGGTAGTGGTAGTAGTGGTAGTAGTAGTATTTGGGAGGAAAGGCGGTGCGGATAGCTAGGGGGAGGACCGTGGTTGCATGTATTGGTAAATGGAGAAGGGAGGTAGACATGGAGCAAGGGGGCTCGTCCAGCGCTGGCGTATTCGAGACCCGACGCCTTGTTACTAAACACCATATTGCCACGACTTGAAATGTGCCTACCTATTGTACAACAACCCGACCGATCTGTGAGATAGCAGCCGGGGATGAATATTAGCAATTCAAGACATTAACAACCCAAAGCCCCAGGGCTGGACCTTGGCCGATGATCTCGACTTGTATTGCACACCGGTCACGTCACAATACCTTCAGCTACCATCCTGCGCCCATACACTACATTTCACTTTTCTGCCCTTTTCTAATGTAACTCAACAAGCCGACCATCGCTCACTGTGCACAAGAGCCACGACTCCAGAGCAGTCCAGTTTCTCAAAACGCAACATCGCCTTCAGAATCCGGTCCTCCAGGACAGCCAACAGTGCTATGTAATTTGAGCTCGCCCAAAACGCCAACGCTGCATGACAAAAACAAGACTGAAGTGCAAAGGCACGTATGAACAACACAGCAAGACCTTTCGCGAGTCATAACCCCGTAGAGGAGCTTGACGGTGCAGAGAATTAGGTATAGCCTAGGGGCTGTGCGATGGGTGTTACAGACAACGCGAAAAGGAGACTAAGACGTCGGGGATCAACCAAATCTCCTGGCTCATCTGGCATGCGATGGGAATCCGTTTCCCGCTATGCCACGAGATCGTAGACAAGACAACAAAAAACATAAAAAGATAAAATTGTCCAAGATCCTGCCTAACCCATCATGTCCACCTGCTGCTTAGTGCAGATTAGCAGCCAAGCTACGTAGGAGCAGCTGTGGCGACGGCGTAGTGGTCTTGGGGGGATCGTCGACTATTTGGAGATTGCCAATATCGCACCAGCCATTGATATTCTGAGCGCAGCTCGTTAGCCAGTGAAGGAAAATGGGGCATCTTCCCCCAACTTTGGCGGGGTCGTCCTAGAACAGCGAGACATCGGTTACTTACAAGGCAGCTGAGATATTTGCACCACTCGCAGTGAACCCGCGTGACGTAAAAGTTGTTCAGCAGGAGAACAAAGGCGACAAAGACGAGCAGCAGGGCGCCGGCGCGGATCAGCCACCACAGCCACCACAACGGCTTGCGGCCCTTGAAGAAGCCAACGGGGTTCTTGTAGAAGGGCGGGGCCGTCTGGCTGCCCGTCACGCGCGCGCGCCCATCCTGAACCGGAGTGTAGGGCGGGTCGTCGGTACCGATTCGGCGGCGCAGCGAGTTTGGCGAGTGCAGGAGGCACACACCTAGGGCGAGGCCCATGAGGAAGCCGCCAATGTGAGAGAAGTTATCCAATCCCGGCAGCAGGCCCAGCACGAACGAGATGGCGACGTCGAGGAAGATGAAGAGCAGGTCCTTTGTCGGGTTCTTGCGGTCCTTCCACGAGTACAGCAGGTCCAGCAGCGTCAGGGCGATGATGCCAAACAGAGAGCCTGACGCACCCGTAGATGCGATGCCCGTGGCGGCAAAGTTGCCGCCCATGACGAAGCCAAAGATGCCAGCGCTCATGTAGACGAGGAAGAAGCGCAGGGTGCCAATCGACATCTCCATATCGCGGCCGATGGTCAGCTGCAGCAGCAGGTTGAAGCCGATGTGGATCAGGCCCGCGTGCATGAAAATGGGTGTGATAAAGCGGAACCACTGGTTGGGCGCAGGTACGCTGGCCGGAATGTCCGTGAGCGAGACATTGACGAATTTACCGTAGGGGGGCTCATCCACGCCGCCGAAACCGCACAGCTGTCCGAGCGAGCAGTTGGAATCGGTCGTCGTCGTGTTTGGGCACGGCCATTGGATCACCTTGGGCGCGTTGACCACCTTGTCGACGTGATGCATGCACACGACATAGCGAGCGCCCATGTTGATCAGGACCCAGGTGGAGGGGCCGATCATGGGGTTGAACTGGGGTTTTATCATGATGGGAGAGCCCGTGAGCTGTGCTGCGCGAGAGGGAAACAGAACATGTCAGTACATGTTGCCCGACACACCACCCCAACGACCGCGATGGAGCGCCCACGGCTTACTGTTCTTGACAATCTCGCCAATGAAGACGGCGCCCTGGATGGCGGAAAAGACGTAGCAGACCCATGCGATCTTCTTCTTGCCGCTGCCCAGCATGCCCAGCTCGCCGAATCGGATCTTCTTCTGGTCCGACCGCTGGCGGCGCGACCCGGAGCCGGCGGCAGCGGCAGCGGCACCGGGCGGGGCGCCGTTGCTATCGTAGACGTGGTCGTTGGCCTCGGCGTCCTTTCGGCGGTGGCGGTCCTGCAGCGGGATGTCGTCGGCCGATGCTATACGGTCGTCCGAGTTCATCCTGCCCACGCCACCGGGGCTGGGGCCGGAGCCGCCGCCGCCGCCGCCGTAGTAGGACGTGTCCTGCTGCTGGCGGCCACCGCCGGGGGTGGGTGTCTGGTTGCGCTGGCTGTTGTTCATGGGGTACACATGGTCGTCGAAGACGGTATCGAACGGGGAGGGCCCACCGGCGGGGGGTCGGGAGGCGCCGCTGCTGCTGCTGCTTCCGGCGGCGGCTGTCCTCGGGTCGTCGAGCCCGAGATAGGGCTGGGAGCTGTAGGCGGGCGGGTTCGACGGGGCGTAGGGCGCGGGCGAGGAGGACTGGTACGGGTCGGGGGTGCGCGAGGGGTTTGGGTTCGGCAACGATTTGCTGGCGCCCGAGTAGTATTCTTGGGTAGACATTTCGGCCGGCCGACGAGCGACTTGGAGGTCGCTGGTGGTGGTGCAGATGGTGTGGCTCGATCTTGTTGTTTGTTGGTCTGGCTGGCAGAGACTGGGGGATTCGAATGCAAAGGGGTGGCGTCGGGGTCGTTTGGCGAAATTAGGCGGCGGGCCAGAGCCACTCGATCGATTCGCGTCCAAGGTGCTCAGGTCTAGGTGGGGTTTAGCGGCAGGTCGCTGTTACCTGCCGCTTTTCTGGGGGCTGAAACGAGAAGCCGCGATGGCTGGCTGACGCTCAATAAGCGACGCGAGAAGAGCAATAACGAGCGACTGACAATACACGTAAAGGTCAACGATGGATTTTCTCCCGCTTTCCAAATCAATTGTGGTGGAAGGATAACTGCTTTACTGGAATGACGCACAACAGCACAACCAAGAGTCCGATCAGAACCGCAACTTGGCAAAACTGCGGGGACACAGAGCGGGAACGATGTCGCTCTAGTGCTACCCACCTCAGACAGTACGCAAACCAAACCAAGCATGCAGGGGTGGACGCGGGTTTGCCAAATCTGGAAGCCTGGCAAGCACTGGACTTTTATGCCGTCGGCTGATATTATACGGACCTTGCCCTGGGGTTATGTCGCAAAGGCCAAAGGGTACATGAATGGGGAGGAGATTGAGGGGGGGCAGGGAGTAGGTGAAGCAGCCATCAGCACTCACTCGTTCGTGGTGGCGTCAACTGTCCCTTTCCACGTGCAAACAAAGAATGCATGTCGGACAATCAACAACGGCGCAGGTGGCAGGGAATGAACACGGCCAATCGCAGCCGCCACACCAAAGTCCTCCCTCACACATAAAATACACAAACAACCCCCTGCCACCAAGCGTCACAAGACCACTCCAAGTCGTAGCACAGCGCGCGCGCAAACGAACAAGTGCACCAGCGCACGCACCACTGCTGGCGCTGGGTGCCACCACTGCCACTTCAGCCCGCCAATAGTACCCTACAGGCAGGCACCTGGCACGCAACTTGCGTGCCGTTGCTGCTTTGTCCGTCGCCGTGCCATCTCGAGTTTCCACCGCACATGGAAGCCCTCGTCAAAGCACTGCCACTGCTGCACTGCCAGTCATGTCTCGCCATCACTCGTCACACAACCTGCCTTTGTCAACCCGGAAGCCCCAGCTGCAGAAGCACAGCCTTGTTTTGCCTCCACCAAACCGACGATCTCAGCCGCACAATCGAGGACCGACATCTCCCCCTGCCCTCCCTGCCCTGGATCATGACCCGTTTTCTACTTTTAGAAGCGCCCGCCCGCTTTCGTCACCAGAGTTCTTCTTTTAGCGAAACGCATGAGAGTCACCTGTAAAACACAAAAATGCAAAGGGCTTTTTTTTCTGGAGAGACCAGGCCCTTCCTCAAGCTGTCGTAGGGGTCTAGAATATGCTGGGACGATCTGTCCCCGCCAGGCCTGGCCAGCACCGCCCGGATCCCACACAGTATGGGAATGAGAGGTGATTAGGGCGCGCGGGGCTGGGGACCGACGTCACGGGCGGCCACGCCGACCACCCCCGTGCCGCGCCCCAAAGCGCCGAGGATGCTGCCGTAGCCCAGCCCGGAGCGAGACAAAATCTGGGGATATGAACCATACATTAAGCTCTTAATATGCATGTCTGGAGTCGAGAGGCTATTCCGAAAACTAGAGTCCGAAGGCGAGAGTAATTTACAAATATGTCAACACATGCTCTCCCGACATCCTGGCCCAGATGGCCGTGATCCCACAGGCAGGTTCCATCATACAATTACAAACAAAGTACGGGCGCGACGAGAGCCAACGCCGATTCCCTGCCCGACTGGGGAACTCTCGACTGGTCTTTGCCTCGCCTCCACTCTTGTCCTCGTTTTACTTTTCCTCGGCCTCACCTTTCCCCTCTCCATCTTCCCCCTCGTTCATTTTTGCTAGGATCTCTTTCTCGGCCTTTTTCGCCAAACTCCCTTGCTCGCTCTTCTTCTTCGCCTTGGCCTCCCTCTTCGCCTGGCTCTTCGCCTCCCTCCTCCTCCTGTCCTCCTCGGTCCTCTTCTTTGCCTTCTCCGCGTACGCCGCCCTAGCCTTCTCCTTCTTCAACGCCTTGGCGCTCTGCGCGTCCAGGACCGGAAGGTCCGGGAAGTCCGGAGTGTCCTGGGCTTCCAAGGGGTTCTCCGGGAGCTCGGCGCTCCAGGGCCGCGTCGGCGAAACGTGCGCAAACACCTCGTCGTAGTCGAGCTCCCCGTCGACCCCGTAGACGCACACCCTACCGTGCTCGCGCGCCCGCTCGTCCTCGCCCACGCGGAAGGCCCTGCCCTTGTTGGTGAAGTTCTGGAGCGTCCGCGCATACGCCTGTTGGAACTTGTCGTTCCCAAGCGGCGCGTTGGCCGCCGTGAGGAGTGCCTCGCGCCGTTTTTTGCACCCATCGTACAGCTTCTGCGCCCGCGGCTGCTCAACATCCTCAAACGAGTACAGGAGCTCCCACTTTGTGTCCTCCTTGACCGAGTTCAGCCGCTTGACGTAGCCCTTGTCTGTGGAGTTGCGTATCGTGACCGCTATCGCCATGAGTTCTTCCTCTGGCTCCGCATCTGTGCCAGTGGCCTCGGTCTCGGATGCAGCGGCATCCGCTGAGGCTGCGTCGCCCGTTTCGGCTTGTTTGGAGTTCGACAGCATCTCAGACAAGATTCTCTCAAACCTCTTCAGCCTCCGGCTGTCGGCACGGTCCGGCTCTTCCTCCTTCGCCTGCGGCTCCGCGCTAACCGGCACAGGCGACGACTGTGAGTGCTCAGCCAGCTTGATGATAAGATCTTTGAGTGAAAGCAGCCCCGGTGCTGTCTTTGATTTGACAGTCTGTGTCTCCGCCGAGTCCGAATCATCACCAGAAATCTCATCTCCTGCGTCGGCGTCGTCCTCGACAGCCTCATCTTCATCCATGGCAGTCTCCGACTCGGCTGCGATCTCGGCAACCTCATCCTCTGGGACCTCGGTTACCCCACCCTCTGGGGCCTTAGCAACCTCGTCTGCCGTGGTCTCAGCAACCTCGTCTGCCGTGGTCTCATCGACCTCGTCTGCCAAGGCTTGCGCAGGTTCCTCCGAGGCGGTCTCCACCGTCTCATTGGCCGAAACCTGTTCGACATCGACCTGAGACGATTCAGCTTCGCTCTCGCCAACCTCCAGCTGCTCCGCGGGGGTGTCTGCCGTGGCGTCTTCGTCGACAGCTGAAAGGGTGGCGGTATCTTCCTCGGCGACCGTCGCATCCTCGTTGCCGTCTGTGACAGAGAACTCGTCCGCGCTGCCGTTCTGAATAACCTCCGCCGCGCCCTCGAGGTCAGGACTGGTGATGGCCCCAAGGAGTGCGTCGATGTATTCTCTGGATTGGTCCTGCGGGATGGAACGAAGGAGCCCACTCTGCGTGAGAGCCTCCTCGACGGCCTCCCGGACCGACGCGATACCAAACACGTCGTCCTCCATGGCCTGGTCTACCCTGTTCATCATATCCTCCCAGACCTCCTCTGGGCTGAGTTGCCCCTCAGGGCTGAGCTCCTCAGAAAACTTCTCCTCGACGGCCTCGACCTCCTCACCGCCCTCGTCCTCATCGATGATCTCGAGCTCGTCATCTGCAGACCCGGCCTCCTCACCCGACTGCTCTGCAGCCTCGACAGCAGAGGCCTCGGGCTCCAGATTCATCATCTTTCGCTCGAATTCCTCTATGGCTTCTTTATTCTTCTCTTGGACGGCTGCGATCTCCTGGTCGGTGACCGGCTTCGCAAACACGTACATAAAGGGAGGCTCGCTCGGCCGAGTCTCAAAATGCAGCCGCAACGACCGCCCGGGGAACTTGGTGGTTGCCTTGTCGAGGATCTTGTTGAGGAGATGCAGGCTCAGCTTGAACTCATGGTCTCCCAGTGCCGTGTTGTCGGTCCCGTGTATGGCCAAGTCCATCTCGCCGAGGCTGATGTACTGGAAGCCAAATATGCGCTCCGTGTTGTGGAAGGCGACAAAGATTCCGTCCATGCGGCCCATGCGCACCTGGAGGGAGTATTTGAGGAAGGCTGAGCGGATCATGTCAAAGTACTCCCGCTCGAACGACTCCCACTGGCCAAAGCGATCGCGGATCTCGTAGCCCATCCCCTTATGCATCTCGCTCGACTGCATGCGGATGGTGACGACGGAGCGAGTCTTGAGATCGAACATGCCGGTGCCGGGAAGCCTGGGGTCGTGGGCATCCAGCTGGGACCGCATGAGAAAGTCACCCATGGTCGTGTAGTGAAACGCCTCCGGATCATTCCGCGCCTCCTCGCTAAGCTCGTGCGACTTGTCCTTGTGGTAAAGCTCGAACTCTTCTCTTGGAAGCGTGAGAAACTTTTCCATCGACTTGCCCAGCATGCTGAGAATGGTGGCGTTGTCGAACTCCTTGTCGGCGTCAATGGCGTAAACGCCGTCCTTGTACTTGAGGAAGACGGCAGCAGGGCCTCGCTGGATCCGGGTGAACTGCTCCGAATCCGGTGTGAAGGTTCGTGACATGTGTGAAGCGTTGATCGGGCGCCAAGATGAGATCAAGTAGTGGAAATGCGCCAGCATCGAAGTCATGCTAGACGTCGACCCGGTGTACTTCTTGTCCACCTCGGCCGCAAGGGATATCAGGGTGTTATCCTTGGATGAGGTGACGTAGCGTTTGAGCGCATTGAAGTCGAACTCGTGGGTTGGCATGATCGTGGACAAGTAAGGGTCGAAGTTGTAGACGCGTGATCTGGGATCTTGGAGCTGGTAGACTCCTGGGTTGAACAGGACCCTGTCCAGTCCATATTGAACGTTCGGAACAGGAGGCTGAGACTTTTCTATGGGTGTCAATTCTAGGTCTTTGGAAATGACGCTGTGGATCGATATTTGCTTGTTCTTGCGTTCTTTCTTCTTCGGCGCGGCTGCGTCAGGTGATGGGTCTAGCTCAGGAGTGGCTTCATGCGTCGCGTTCAGAGATTTATCTTCGACTTGCGCCGGCGGATCCCATATCTTTTTACCTCGTCGTTCAATGATAACGTTTGGCCATTTTGGTCCTGCCGCTTCTTGTGATTGTGCCGCTGCCACCCTTGATTGTCCCGCCTTCTGGAATTGCGAAGCAAGGCTGGCCTTCTTCTTCGGCGCCTTGCCAGGTGCTTCTGAAGCCGATGGCTCAGTGGGTTTTGAGTTTACTCGACGTACTTCCACCGGCTGAGGCTCAGTGGCCTTGGGGCGCTGTGCCGATCTGTCTTTCTCAGGGGCTGGCCGGGCCAGATACTGTGCTGATCCTGGCGGCTGCTCAAGGAGGACCTTGCGCAGGACTCCTAAAGCCCCGGCAAGGAGTTCCACCTGACGGTCCTTGTCATCCGGCTTCACCGTCTTGAGGAGCTTCTCCGAGGGAAGGTTCTTGAACATCGAAGGTCCCACAGATCCAGGCTGGACACCCCCTTGGGCCATCTGTGTGTCAAATAGGTCTTTTGCTTTTTTGGCATCAGGGCTGAGTGGGTGTGGCCGGCCTGCGCTCGCGTCACTGGCCTCTGAGGCCCCCTGCCCAGATCCCTCCTCTGACTTGGCCGTTTTCTTCCCCTTAGTCGCAACAGCAAGAGGCTGGGCGAGTCCGATGTGTGCAGCCCGGAGGTCTTTCAGTATCTCGAGAGACTCGCGCCACATGCGATTCATCTGCTCCGTCCTCGCGACGTTTGTTCTTGCTTTGGACTGTGCAAGCTTATGGCGGCGTTTTTCGGACCTCTTGTTTGAGGACCCTGGCGAGCCTGAGGTCGTCGAGAGAGATTCCTTTCCGTCCTGACTGTTGGGGGCCGGGGCGGGCCCCTGACCGTGTCCTTCTGCCGTGGCATCGGTGTCGGCGCCCTGGGTGGCAGCAGACTGCTTGGTCTTGGTACTTTTCGAGGCGGGTTTCGACTTCGAGGGAACCAGCTTTTTGCGTTTTGACGGGCTGGCTTCTTCGCCCTTCTTGTCGTCGGGCGCAGAGCTAGACTCGTTCACCGAGGGCGATTTCGACTCTGGGGGTGTGTCAGAGCTGTAGAGCCGCCGCGGGCTGAAGCGGACTGGCGCGCTGGGAAATAGGTCCCTCCGGGTACTGTGCAAACGCAGGCCGCCCGCGGGAATGCGTAGACCGCTTCTCGCTAGTGAGAGCATTGCGACCGCACCCGTGCCAAGTTGGTGCAAAAAAGAAACCGACTTACTGGTCCCGTCGTTTGCGGCGTGTAGGTCGAAGAAGGCCTGTCGCACGAGGGGGTGGAGAATCTGTTGGAACTTTTTCCAATCCCACCCACCAACGGGCTTATCGACTCTTATCGCCAATTAGGATCCACATCGCCGCTTCAATTGCCCCACAAACCCCTTGTGCGTTCCGATGCGCCGCAAGGCTAGCCATTGAGACTTGCATGAGGGACAAGACCTGACCGAACATGAAGTTAGTTGAATTACATCGACTATGAATGGGTATTGCCAGTCGTTAACTCCCGAGGAAAAGTGTAAAGAAACAACACACCCGTCGCGTGTGATGGGGAAACCATAATGCGTCCTCGCTCAATGCATCGCCAAAAGCAAAAAGAGAGAGGAAAGAAAAAGACAGGGCCGGGCATCCGGTGTTCCAGATGGGTACGAGTGTCTAGCAAAGGCTAAGGAGAAGACAAGCAAGAATCGAAAGCCAGGTGATGAACAAAGAAAACATGGGCCTTTCCTTTATATGACACCATCCATTCCAAACCTCAGGGGACAGCTGCGCTTTTGGCCGCCGCCTCGTTGGCAAAGCGCACTGCGTCCGCGTATCGCTTCGTGTGCTCGTCGCGTTGGCTTTGCATGGCATACGACGATGCTAGCATACCCTCCGCCACGCTCTTCCAAAGCAGGTTGCCGACCTTGTTAGCCTGTGCCAACGCCGCCCTCGCGCTCTTGAGCGCCTGGTCGCCCACAACACCCTCGAACAACCTGAAACGCATAATGTTCAGCGCGATCGAGAGGCACTGGATGTTGCGATTCGACTGGGATCCGCTGAGCGCCCCCTGGATGTACCTCTTCACTTGATTGATGCTCTCGGGAGGATCTGTCCGGATAGATGCCATGACGAGGTTGAACACAGTTTTGATGTCCGGGTCCGGGTGGGTCTCGCAAAGACTCCGGATTTCCTCCACGATCTCGACTGTCTTGGCCATGTCCTGGTGTTTCGGGCTTGCCATGATCCAGAGACGGTTCAAGGCGGCCATGAGACACAGCTCGCGCGGCACCATGCCCTCATCCGATCCACGTGGGAGGCGGATAGCGAAGCGCTCGCTCGAGAAAATCTCAAGCGCCTCATCCAGTTTGCATCGCCCCTGGTAGCAGATGGCCTTGAGGTAATATGCCAGATCCTGGATGTTTGCGTCCAAAGTGTCGTCCATAAGCTCGTCGATATTATCCACACACCGCTGGACTTCGGCCCATTCGCTATGGGTTCCGCTTGTCAAGCCGAGGAGGACAAACAGGTAGCATTTCAGCTCCGAGTGCCACCTCGCCATCCGCATCGCCGGCTGGAGTGACAGACGTGCCTCGGGAGGAAGTTTTCTGTTCGCAAAATTGGAGAGCGATTTCAGCGCTTCCCGCCACGACTCGGGACACCTAGCGTCAACTGCGCCGGTGCTGTCACCTGTGACAGAAACCGTGTAAAGCATCGCTATGCCACTCAAGGTGTAGCTAGATTATCGCTGTCAGCTCACGACGTCTACACTTGCGGGATGGCGGAACTGCAACACAAACCTGAGGGAAAACACGTCCGCAATAGACATGAAATTGACAACCAAGAAATCGGTTTCGCCTTCGCCAGGCCGGACGATTGTTGAAGTATCTGTGCTGATTGTGGACAACGACAGCTGATCCCTGACAAGAGGTAGCAGAATCTCCGAGGTTTCCCACGAAGACTTGTATGCCACTTCTAGCATATTTTGCAGGTTCCTCATTTTTTGTAGCGAGGCATCGGGTTGCTTCTGCCGGAGGCTGCATGCTAGATCCAGTAAAAGGGATAGCACATCGATTTGCGGCACCCGAGTGGAGGATTCCAGCTGATATTTCGCGGCCTGGGCAATGCAGTCCTGAACTCGCACGATGGCATCCGCCCTGCTGGTTCGGAGGTGCACAAGACCTTCGACAAGGGAGGTGAATACGTATATGGCACGATCCCCCCGTTTAGAGGCAAGCGTCGTGATGTCCTTGCAAGAGTCCAGTACTGTCGTCGTGTCGGAGAACCCTGACGACTGCAAAAGAAGCGATATCTTGAGCAGCCGAAAGCCATATGACCAGTACACATGTTTATATCTGCAGAAAAGTTAGCGAGGCGCATGATGGAGAGGGGAAGTAAGCTCCGAACATACGTGTCGCAGTCATTGATGGTCTTGTTCAGGGCGACGAGTGCAGCCTTTGGTGTTCTCCTGAACAGTACCTTCATGAGGAGATATTGGGTGCAGTATTTCAAATCAAGAAATAGGCGCTAGATGAGATGTGAGTCGTGAATAGTTGTAAACACCAGTATTGGGGTATGGGCTCACCTTGTCCGCGAGCGCAATGCCCTTGGTAAGCATTGTTTCCGCGTCCATCAGATTTTCTGTCTCCTCTACGACTATTCCGGCGTACCGAAGACGGGCCTTGGCTTCGATGCGCGGTGAGAGCTTTTTTGACGATATTGCGGCCTCGAGGCACGCTAGCCCCGTCGCGACCAGCTTGTGATATTCGCCAAGTGCTTCAGGTGAGCATGAGGACGCCAGTCGTAGCGCACCCTCCTGTGCCTTTACCAGGCACTCATCCGCCACATGGATCAGGATGGACGGGTGATCAAGGGACGGCTGCGACGGAACGCTAGGAGACCTGGCAATAGCAGGCGAATGCGAAAGCGCGGGAGATTTTGACAGGGCTGGCGACCTAGATGGTCCTGTTGCTTTTGTTACCCCGCCTGTCTGCACCTTATGAAGGGCGGGCGACCTCGCCAGTGGGGAGTTGGCCATGGCCGGGGATTTTGAGAGCGCTTTGGGCGCAGGAGTGTTTGGTGATCTAATCCGCCCCTTCTGCATGGCCCCATTTCCATCTCTTGATTCTGGCCGAGTCTTCATGTCGGTGATATTGATGACTATATCTCCACCGTTGGGCAGCCCTGGTGTCGGCGCGCTCGATGTCGCTCGAGCGCTATGTACGTGTTGGTGCTGCTGTTGCGGTGCCTGGTGGTTCTGAGGATTTGGTTGGCTGTTATGTGGGCTCGGATGACGATGTTGCAGATTCTGGTGGTGATTCTGCCAGTTCTGCTGTTGATTTGTTGGCTGATGAGGCTGCTGCCGGTACTGCTGCGGCTGGTGGTGCAATATCTGGGGCTGCGACTGTTGTCGCTGCTGTTGCTGCGCGTGTGTTGCCGCCGACAGAGTCTGCTGCTGCTGCTGCTGCTGCTGAAGAGGCGACGGCCGAGACTGCGGCTGGGGACGCGCGAGTCTAGGATCATTGCCTGGCGCAGGCAGAGGTTGGACGTGGTGATTCGCCGGTTGTTGTTGGTATGTGTTCGAGGGGAATCGCTGAGGGGGCGCGAATGCAGCCGTGCTAAAGGTTGCGGCGTAGCTCTGGGGGACGGCGCTCGTCGGGGTCGCGTATCCGACCGGAGGCGGCAGGGGCGTCAGCGGCGAAGGGTCGATCTGCTGGTGCGCGTGTGCCGGGTGTGGATACTGCTGCTGCTGCTGCTGCTGCTGCTGCTGTTGGTGCTGGGGCAGCGGGCGGTGGTGCAGGTTGTTTGTGTGAAGTGACGGGAGCGAGGGGGCAGCCTGCTGATGATGCTGCGCGTACGGCGGCCCCTGAGGAGGCAGGTAGGCGGAGGGCGACGCGCCGTGATAGGGCTGGTGTGCGACGGCGGCGGGGTGCTGGAATTGAGGGGCGACGTAGGGTCGCGGGACGGGCATCGGCGAGGACTGGCCATCGTAGGCCTGCCCCGGGCCCGGCTGCGGCCCAGAGCCGTGGTGGTAGGCCATGGCATCAAACGCCGAGTGGCTGCAGGTTGGGGAAACGGAAACCGCGTTCGACTGGGCTGCTAACATGACCAGGCCGGGCGCGAGACAAAAGGCTGCATCGTGAGTGGTCGACAACGCCAGGCGGGGCCAAATCCCTGCTTATAAGGCGGCGGCAGCAGAAAACGAAGGAAGCCACGTCGGGCGAGGCGTATCCATCCACGGAAATCAATGTCTTTTAAGAGGTCTGTTTGGCAGGAGCATGCGGCTCTGATGAGATGAACCACAGCCATTCGCCCAGTTGGCGCTCTAGCGGGCATCTGGTGGCCCACACTTCAGCTTACCTCAGCCGCGAACCTAATCGTGACAGATCCATCTTATCGAAGTGTGGGTCGACGGATGCGATCGACACGTGATGCAGGTGCCTTGCAGCAGACAATCCGACAAGCCACTACCCGATACTCGGCGTTGTCATTGTTGAGCTGATGTGGACCCCAAACCGAGGCACTCAGCAGAGTGGCGCAGGGGACACTGCCGAGGCATCCCTGATTCCAAGAGCCCGCCTCCCGCGTGCGCCCACGTCCCAACGTCTCGGGCGGTCCCGCAGCAATCCACGGACAGCCTGTTCTGGAAGTCATATCCGGGGTTGGGATGTTCTAAAATAGACGCAGGAATAACGGGCCCGATACCTGGGCGGTTGGATACCTAGTATTCAAACCTCGCATGCCGCCGCTTTCAGTGGTGTGCGAATCTTTGCAGGTCCCCCATCACTATCTATCCGGTATACAACGAACGGGCTGCAGATCTGCAGCGCACCGCTAGTCGGCGCATCAAAACGACATCGCACAGCAACAGCTGCCCTCCTGCCTTTGACTCTTCCCCATCATTTGCTTGTCGAGTCGTGCGCAGCCAACCTAAAAGCGTCTCCCACTCCACGCTTCCCAGTCCCCAAACTGTCGCTGCGTCGGTGTGCCAAGATGATAGGCTCCTGGTTGGGCCTGGCGAGCATCCGCTTCACACACGCACCGGCACCCCTCGTTCTCCGCACCAAGGATGGCGAGAAAAAGAGCCTGGTCGAGGTGTGCATGGACAGCGTGCCGCCCTGTAGACTGAACCCGTTCCTGTTCAATGGCCATCTGCAGACCATGTGGACCGCGATGTCGACCGAGGGCCCTCAAATCTACTACAGGAGGAAGGTCTTCGAAGCTGACCACGACAGTTACTTTGGCTCCTTCGCCGTCGACTTCGCGGTCCCGCCTCACAAGGACGTTGATGACACGCTGCCGCCTCGCACCGCACACTACTCGGACAAAGACTTTGCCGCGCTGGGGTCCGACGACACCCGCCCGATGCTCGTCGTGATGCACGGTCTGTCTGGCGGTTCGTACGAACTCTATCTCAGGGAGGCTATAGCACCTCTGCTCGCCGAAGGGTCGGACTGGGACGTCGTCGTCGTCATCTCCAGGGGCTGCGCCAAGAGCCCCATCACCAGCGGCGTTCTTTTCAACGCCCGGGCGACCTGGGATGTGAGACAGTTTGTCAAGTGGTGCCGTAAGACGTACCCTAACCGCCCACTGTTCGGACTCGGATTCTCCCTCGGTGCCAACATCATCACCAACGTATGTCACTTACATCGGTCGTGTTTTATGCCTGGGTGCCTTTCACTAACGATTCGGGGATGCAGTATGTTGGTGAAGAAGGGGCAAATTGCCTCCTATCCGGGGCCATCGCGGTCGGCAGTCCCTTCAACTTGGAAGTCTCAAACAAGGCGCTGAAGAGGTCCACTCTGGGGCTTCACGTCTACCAGAGAGTCATGGGATGTAGGTTACTGCCATCCCCGCCATTCCTAGACTATGAACTCTCACGCTCACACAGCTCGCTACAGCCAACGTAAAGAGACTCGTTGCGGAGCACAAGGAGTCTCTCGAGATTCACAGCAAACTCGACTTCGAGAGGATTGCCAAGACCACTTATCTCTACGAGTTTGATCGTGCAGTACAGTAAGAATACCTACTCTGCCTTTCCGCTCCCTTGGTATCACGATTTTAACGAGCTCTACAGATGCCCTTGCTGGGGATACCCCACCGAAGACGCGTATTATCGCGACTCGTCCTCTTCGGATGCTATTCTTGGCATCAGGATACCCTTCTTGGCCATCAGTGCAACCGACGACCCGGTATGTGGCATGGGCACGAAGACTTGCGTCCGGTTGATACTGACTATAAGACAGATTGCGGTCGACGAGGCGGTGCCGTACGAGGAGTTCAAACAGAACCCATTCACTGTTCATTGCAGTACATCACTGGGCGGCCATCTGTCCTGGTTTGAGCTTGGCGGCGGCCGATGGCACAAGCGACCGGTATGCCCTTTGACGAAGCCCATAGTAGACATTTTGCCAACCATGCTGACTTTAAATAGATCGAGAAGTTCCTCAGGACCATGGCGTCGAACATCGATTTGAACTTTAGCCGATCAGTGTCAAACAACACCATTGAACCCAAGCCCCGTGGCACCCAAGGCTTTGACCCCCTCAGGCGGCGAATGATAGTCAAGCATCTAGAGGCAGAGGACTAGAGACCTTGATTTCTTTGGTGATTCCGCGACGCGACATGCATACGCAGTTTGTACAGATCATGGGATAGATAGACGTAAATCGGTGAACATAGAACATGACTTGGAGCATCTTTCCTCAAGCGATGCAACATTTTGCCTCCTCGTCCGACGCTGCCACATGTTACAAATGTTGTAGGGTAGGTATACTGAGTCCGAAATATAACGTTTCTCCAAGACCAGATGAACAGGCCTTGTCGGCATAGAGCCGTGATTTTTACGAGCGATTTCTCGCTGCTTTTTTCCACACGCCTATAGTGCGATGAAACAATAGCCCAACCAAAAAGTAACGCCTCGCAATGATGTGCCCAGTAAGAAGAAAAATCAAGAAAAAGATGCGAAAAAGCCATGAGAGGATCAGGCAAATGATACCCTCTTCTTCTTTGCTGCACTCTTGGTCGCTTTTGAGCCAGAGACGGCGATATCGCTGATATCCTTGTCGTCCTTTTCAGCCTTGCTCCTACTCCGCTTCTTCCGTAGGGACTCCTTGGTCGCGTCGAGCTTGGCTTTCCTCTCCTCCTCCTTCTTTTCCGCCTCAGCCCTCCTCGCCTCTCTGATCTCCTCCATCTGGCGCGCCTTCATGATCTTGGACTCTATCTGGCCTTCCTTCTCGGCCTGGACCATCGCGAGGATCGTGTTGATGCTCTCCTGTGGCGAGACGTTAGCGCAGTCGTTGCGGGGATGAGGGAGGGCGCGGTGTCCAAGGTCCGACCGGGCACCCAGTCCATAGAAAAGCTCGATGGAACACATACAGGGTCGTCGACGAAAACCTTTCCCTTCTTCTTCCCCTTGGGCTTCTCGACGCCGACCGGGGTGATCATGTTGAGCTTTGGTATGCCCAGCTCCTTCTCGGTGTAGACGCGCTTCTTCTTCTTCTTCATCAAATCCGCGATCGACGGTCGGCCCTTGACCTGCTGCGACGGCGCCTTGCCGCCGCTGGGCTTCTTGGACTTGGACTTGACGAAGTTGTCCCCATCGGATTTTGATTTGCCCCCGCTGGAGCCGCCCTTCCTGGAAGAGATCTTGTTCTTCACCGTTTTCGTGCGCGTGATACCCATCGTGGCGGAGGTCGTGGGTTTCGGGCCGGCTGTTGGTTCTTTTTACGGTTTGGCGCAAGAACCTATGGCGATGGTTGCTGGATCGCAACTTGCAAGACAGCTTCCATCTGTCGGGCGTTGTCGCGAATCAATTGCGATTTTTTTTTTCTCCGCGCGCCGCGATAAGAGGTTACTGATAACACACCCTTGCTTCCCATGCCACGCCTATGGAGCGGGGTGTGGTTCAGTAAAACACAGGGGTTGTGGCTGCTGTGCGGAGCTCCTTTCAGGTACGCAGTCATCGCGTTTGACCCCTCCCGAATGCTCGCTGCGATACCGGACGAACCAGAGGTAAATCTCAACATCGAGCCTCCAGCCTTTGCATCCTCTCTTTCACAGTAGATCAAGCCAGTCATTTTTTACGATCGAATATTTATTTCCCCCCGGGATATCGCCATCTCAAAAACTGCTCTACTTCTTTTATAATCTTACTTGCCAAGGTCTCGACGAAGCAATCATAAAATGGCGACAACTCAAAGATGGGCAGCATTAGCTCGAGATACCAACGAGACAAAGGTCAAACTTGCTCTAAATCTTGATGGCGGCGAGCTCCCTCCGGAAACGCACCCCGACTTGCTGAAGCAAGATGCAGAGGGACATGCTTCACAGGCGAGCAAGTCGCAGAGGATCAGTATACACACGGGAATCGGCTTCCTCGATCATATGCTCCACGCCCTGTCGAAGCACGCGGGCTGGAGTTTGCTTCTGCACTGCAAGGGTGATCTGCACAGTACGTCACCACCCCCACCAGCCCTCATCCGCTGATGGGTAGTGTAAAACCTTTCACTTGACTGACTTATCACCCTGCTCACAAAGTCGACGACCACCATACCGCCGAAGATGTGTGCATAGCCCTCGGCGATGCCTTCAAGTCTGCCCTCGGCAGCGCGTCAGGCATCGCACGCTTCGGCTTCGCATATGCGCCGCTCGATGAGGCCCTGTCGCGGGCCGTGGTCGACATCTCGAACCGGCCCTTCGCCGTCGTGGACCTGGGCCTGCGGCGCGAGCGGATCGGCGACCTGTCGTGCGAGATGATCCCTCACTGCATGCAGAGCTTCGCGACGGCCGCGCGCATCACGCTGCACGTCGACTGCCTGCGCGGGGACAACGACCACCACCGCGCCGAGAGCGCCTTCAAGGCCCTCGCCGTCGCCGTACGCAGCGCCACGGCGCGCGTGGCCGGCAAGGAGGGCGAGGTGCCCAGCACCAAGGGCACGCTGAGCGTCTAGGCGAACCAGCGCGGGCTGTGGCACCGCCCCCGCCTCCCGGGTCGCTTCCACGGCCGCCGCGGCTCTCGCGCGGGGGCCTGTGGGCGGGACGAGGCATGGTACGGCACCGCCGACGGCTGCTCACACACCTACCTGCCCGTCGCACGGTTGGGCAGGCCGGGGATCGTGTCACCTCGGCCTGTGCGGCCGTGGCAGTCGTCGGCGCCGGTTAGGAAACTGGCCGAGATACTGGCAGGCCAAAGCGACAGCGAGTGCGAAGACTGCATATGCACCCCGACATCACCTTCAGGCTCTACAAGCAGCAGCGGATCCTATAGTACTGCTCCTGAGTCCTTTGAGGACCTTGATCCGATTGACTTCGCGCAGGCTCACCGGATTCGCAAAATATTACACCTAGTGTCTAGACTTTTCGGGCGAGAGGAATGAGTCTACCTGCTATATGTCTTTTTCTTTTCTCCTTTTCCTCCCAAAGGCCTGCCTGCATAACCAGACTGCTGGTTTCGAGCGTTCTACCCTGCAGAGATCAATGGCAGGCGGGACTCCGTGCCGTGATGCGTGTTTGCCGCAACTCTAAAGGCAAGATGGGCGAAGAACAGGTGAAAGTAAAGGGATCGGAAATCGTGCTAGCAATCGCTAGTCCAAAGCCAGTGGTATTAATAGAAAGCGCAAAATGAAAACGAGTCGGATGATAGCATGTCCGTAATTTGATGTGGAAAGAGTTGGATCTCGAAATCGGCGTTCTGCTGAAATTTGCACTTGGGTCTGGCGCCCCATGAGGTCATACGATTGATTGAGTCCAAAATCGCGAGCCGCAAAGCGGAGAACATACAGGCGAGCAAATCCCGATGCGAAAACCGGGCGCAACGAAGAACCATTTCATAATTCCGAAAGCAGCATCGCACCCCTTCAGAGCGAGTCTTCCCCTCCTCCCCTCTCCCCACTGGGCCCCCCAATTCACTGAGACCACGATGCACAGCAACGACGCCCTGAAGGGAGAGGAGGCCGTCGGGGCTGGGCAGGCGGCGGCGCGGGGGGCGGCCTACGGCGCGGCGCGGTGGGGCGTCGGCTTCGCCGTCCTGGGCGCCGTCGGCTACTTTATGTCGCCGATATACCGGGGGCTGACGATCCAGTTCAAGACGTACGCCATCCCCCGACATGTTTTTTCTTCTTCTTTCTTTCTTTGGTGTGAATCAAAACAAACTGACTGACTGGCCACCACCACCTACCCCCGTCCCCCAGTTACATCCAAATGTCGGGCATGGTGTTCGGCGGCATGATCGAGGCGGACAGCCAGCTCCGCGTCTACGAGGCCAATATGCGCCTGCGCAGGAAGGCGATGCGCAGCCAGATGGCCCGCGCCGTGTACGAGCGGGAGCTGCAGGAGCTCGAGGGTGGGAGGCCGCTGGAGCCGCGGGACGAGGGACGGCCGGCTCAGCCGAAGAGATGAGGTGGCTATGGGGGATTTGTACCGACATTGAGCGATCACAACTGCCGCAATTTGGCAAACTCTCGTGAGGAATATGGGCTGGGTCTGGGGCGTGCGAGTATGGCGTTTTGCCAACTACCCGATCGCAGAACTGTGGACGGCGTTGCGCGTGTTCATGTGATTGATTGAACAAGGGTTGGGCGCCGCAGACTAAAAACATTGTCTATTCCCCCCATCCATCAACGCCGGGCCACGCTTACGAAAAAAAAGAAAAAGAATCAAGTCGAGAATCGTCCTGTCGGGGTAAGCGCGCCAGGGAAAAACATGTACGGGCAGTTTAACAGCATAGGGAAGCAAAAATCAGCGGCTTTATTTCTTGGCCGAGGGCCTCTCAAACTTCTTGGGGTCCATGTTCAACTTGCACAGCCTGACGACGCAGCCGCTCAGCTGCAGCAGCGTCTGGACGCCCTCGAGGATCTTCATGTGCGCGAACCCGATCTCCTTGATGAACTCGAGCTTTGCGTGCTCGCTTAGCGTCGGGATGGTCTTTATGACCTTGAACATGGTGCTGATGATGTCGTGGCTCGAGTAGCCGAGGTCCCAGAGCTCGCGCAGGCCGTCGAGCGCGCTGCCCACGTTGCCCTCGTGGCAGGCCTTGAGCATGGCCTGCACCTTGATGGGGTGGGGCGAGTCGACGACGCGGAAGACGTTGTCGCCCGACACGAAGCCGAAGCCGGCGTGCGTCGACTGCAGGTTGTTGATGGCCTGCCGCATGTCGCCCTCGGCGCTGAAGACGAGCGCCGCCAGCCCGTCCTCGCTGTGCCGCACCCCCTCGGCCTCGATGATCTGGAGGAGCCGCCGGACCACCTGCGCGTCCGTGAGGCGCGCGTACCGCAGGATGGCGCACCGGGACTGCAGCGGCTCGATGATCTTGTTGGACTGGTTGCACGCAAAGGCGAACCGCGTCGTGTTGGAGTAGATCTCCATGGTCCGCCGCAGCGCCTGCTGCGCCCCCGACGTCATGCTGTCCGCCTCGTCCAGGATCACGAGCTTGTGCCGCCCCGCCGGGAGCGTCACCTTCTTTTGAGCGAAGCCCTTGATTCGGTTGCGGACCACGTCGATTCCTGTTGTGTAGAAGATGATCCACGCTCGTTAGTCTCCTGTGTGTTTCGTTTCTCCTCTGCTTGGTAGACATCGCCTTCGCGGCGGCCGGGGGAAGCAACGCCGAGGAGGGGCCTCACCTCTCTCGTCACTGGCATTCAGCTCCAGAACGGCCTCCTTGTAGGAGTCGCCCAGCAGCTGCCGCGCCAGGCAGAGCACGCTCGTGGTCTTCCCGATGCCGGGCATGCCCGAGATGATGACGTGCGGCATGTTGCCATCTTTTGCGATGATTTTTAGCCGCTCGATCGTCTCTGTGTTGCCGACCACGTCGTCGAGGAATATCGGTCTGTACTTCTCCACCCTGACCGTGGGGAGGCCGTCAGCCCAAGATCGAGACCACCTCGTCGTTTCCTCGGCGCGGAGCCAGAGCCTGGGCCTACCATGGGAGCTCGTAGCTGGGGGTGCTCGTGGAGGTCGCGGTCAGCGCCTTTTTGGCCGCTGCCGTCGACGATTCTCCCTTCTCTTCTACTGTTTTCGCTGACGGCATTTTGTTGGGTGTGGGTTTAAGTTTGACAGTCGAGCGTGCAGCGCTGCACAGGAATTCGTCACTCTGCGGACCCTAGATAGGTGCCGTTGGCCCAGCACTTTACACGCCTAGCCTACCGTCGCGTCGCGTCCTGCGATTCTGCGTGGGGTTGGGTCATTCTGAGTCCATTTAATCCAAATAAGCTAGTCTCATTCTGGTAGTAGTGTCCACTGGACCCACTTCAACAGCCGTGATTTTCTGCCATCCGAACCAATCCCTCCAGCCTTTCCGATGTGTGTAATTGTCACCCCTTAACGCCATGTTCCCTGCAAAACCAATCGCCTCTAGTCCTCATCTTGCTTAGCAAGTCTCCTGTTGGCCTTGTGCTTCTGCCCACCTTTGAAGTGCTTCTTCCCTGACGACGCCAGTCGCGCGTCTTTCGGGTCAATGTTGTTCTCGAGAGCGGCCATGATTTTGGCCTTCCTCCCGCTCAGCTGCTTCCCCGAAGCCATGCCCTGCTCCGTGTACTTGTGGCTGAACGGCATGTTGACGTGACCGCCGTTGCGCCCAGCCGCGAAGAAGGTCTTGTCAAGCCGCGCAGTCTTGGGTCCCGCAGGCAGCGCCTGAAGCTCCGTCCCCGCTAGAGACATGGTGTCGTCCGAGATAGACATGGCATCCAGTGCTTGCATCAGTGCAAGCCTCCGCTTTGTCGGTAGGTGGGCCAGGTCATAGAGCTCACGGTTGTACTCGGCCGGGTCGAACTCGCCAGGAGGCGGCTCGCAGTACAGAAGCTTGCCGTTGACATAGTCCTTGAGGACGTACCTCGCTGCCCTCGACTCGTCTGGTTGGGCATTACCAGTCTTGGTGAAGCCACGCGCACGAGCGTAGGCAATAAGGAGCTCCTCCGCGGTGGGTACGCCTGTGCCACCCTCCTCCTCTGAGCGCGTACGGATAGTAATTCCGTATACGGCCTCCAGGAACGCCTTTGGTATCCTCCTGGCAACCAGGGCTACTGGGCCGGTGAACTCGCGGAGTTGGTCGATTGGCAGGACACCATTGCATACCAGCTCTCCTTTGGTTGTCGCAAAGTTGGGGAAGACCAGACCCGGGCAGTCGCACAGCACAACCTTTTCGCTGAGATGGATTGTTTGGAAATGCTTCGTCTTGCCTGGAGTTGCCGACACCGAGACCTTCTTTGAACCGATCAGAGCATTGATAGTCGATGACTTTCCGACGTTGGGGTATCCAACCAGTCCGATCTGCATCCTGTGATTCGGGTCTAGTTTCGACAAAGTCAGTGGGCGCTCACATGGGGCTCTGATGCCTCTTCGGGAAAGGAGGGTCTTACCTTTGTTTTCAGGGGCGTGCTTGAGGAAGATTTCCTCTAGCTCCTCAACTGTGATGATCCTGGTATCCAGATCGTCGTCCTCCGGATTCGGCTCCTTTCCGTCATCGCTTTCCTCGCCATCCTCAGCGCCTTTGGGCTCAAGACTCGCGCCGCCCTCAGCAGCAGCCGATCCCTCCGCCACCTCTTCCTCCTCGGACTCCTCCTCGGATTCCTCCTCAGCCTCCCGAGCCTCATTCATCTCCTTGGCGAGATGGGCGGAGAAGAATTTGTGGGCAATCTTGGCGCCCTTGAGATACTTGGCCCATTCCCGGCGCTGGTTGTAGCTCATCATGTCGGCTTTGTTGATGAGGAGCAAGTTCTCCTTCTTGGGGTCGACGTCTTTGACGTACTGCTCTAGATCCTCAGACCTGAACACGAGCGGGTTCCGAGCATCCACAATCTGAACAACCAGGTCAGACCTCTCAATGACCCTCCAAAGCTGCCTCCACACCTCGAGATTTCGCTCGAAGGGGGTCATGAGCAGGTCATTGTTTTCTTGAAGCTCAGCAAGCCCGCGGCGCCAGTTCAGGAAGCTCTCGCGCTCCATGGCGTCGAGCTGCTCCGGGGTCGTCGACGAGTCCCACCGGGGCCGGCGCGGCACCGTCAGCCTTGCTCTGTGAGCCTTCTGCTTGCCCAGAATCACCCTCTCCTCGGCAGCCGAAAGGAGATAAGGGTTCTTCTGATCGGTGTGGACGATCTTGATGTTGTTCATCTTCTCCGCCGTGAAGTCGGTGCCAGCCAACTCGGCGGTCGAGAGGAATTCATCGAGCGCGCCCTGCTCAGTGACCGAGCGCATCTTGACCCACGCCGCCTCCTCCCTGTCATTGGTGATATACTGTCGGAGAAAGAGTTAGCACCAGCAAACAAAACCCCAAGGCCGCCGGAGCGCCGCAGGTGCTACAGGGTTGGTTACCTGTTCGCCTGTAGCATGGTTGGTTCTCGTGACGGCAGCACCCTTTCTCCTGTCGGTGCCTTTGCCCTTGCCAAACCGGTCGTTCATCAGGGCATTGCCGAGCCCGACGGAAGTTTTCGACTTTGCGAGAACCATTTTGAATGATGGCGCTGTCCTGCGCGGGGTTTGTCGCCTAGGAGCCCTGAAGATGTATCACAATTCTGAGGGCTCGATGTTGCCCACGACGATAGGGTTCAAAACGACCAGCAGTGGCGCTGTCAGAAAGTATGAGCGAGACAAAAAGCAGCAACACAGGGCGTGCTGCTGATTAATTCTGTATGTCGAGGGGCAAAAAAAACCGACCAAATACTTCTGCGCCGGTTCCTTGAAGTCAGTCGCATGCACACTCTTCCGGCGCGGGGCAGTTTCACTGACGTCTGTGGGGCCCGCGCTTCCCTAAGCCATTCAGGTGGACGCCGCACGGAAGATAACAACGATGATAAAGACGGACCCACTTTAATTTCTTCCCCGTTTGTTTTTCGTTTCTTCATCACTTGGACCCCGCGGGCTTCAATCGCATGCGCACACAACCGACTACTCTCGGAATTGCTATTCTCAAGGCCGCCTGTACTGCTAAACCCACGTTCCCCTGCTGTAAATATTCGACGTCGCAAGTCAATCAACCGCAAAAAGCTACTTTTCTTCCCTTCTCGCAGAGACCCCGTCGTTATGGCGCGGGGCAAGTGGATGTGAGTTTTGCGTCGTCAAGAGCCTTGTCCTCACCGCCCATATATGCAGCCCATGTCCGCGCATGTACTAACACGGGGCAAACACTCGTCGTATAGAGACAAGAAGTCGGCGACGCACTTTACGCTGGTGCACCGACCTCAAAATGACCCCCTCATCCATGACGAATCCGCACCATCCATGGTGCTCAACCCAACACAACTGCCAAATGCATCCGCCAAGGGCAAGAAGTTGGATGATCTGGCATCCGAGCTCGGCTCTGATGCCCTGAGCATACGTGACAACGAAGGCGAGGCCGCCAATCATGGCATCTATTTCGACGATACGGAGTATGACTACATGCAGCACATGCGCGACCTCGGCAGCGGAGAGGGCGAGGTCGTCTTTGTCGAAGCAAAGCTCGGTCAGAAGGAAGGAAAGGGCAAGCAGAAGCAGTCACTCGAGGATGCACTGCGCGAGATGGATCTACAGCACCGCTCGAGCGATCTGCTAGACGCAGATATCCTGCCGACTAGGGACCTGCCCAGGGCCACCTACCAGTCTCAGCAGGACGTCCCGGACGCCATCGCCGGTTTCCAGCCCGATATGGACCCGAGGCTCCGCGAGGTTCTCGAAGCCCTGGAGGACGAGGCGTACGTTGACGAGGATGGCGATGATGACATCTTCCAGGCACTTGCAAAGGATGCGAAGGAGCTGAACGAACACGAATTTGAGGATGAGTTTTACGACGACGAAGAGGGCTGGGAGTCTGACGCTACCGCGAAGCCCGGCAAGGAGCTCAACGATGGTGATGGCGAAGCCCCACAACTGGTCAGGACAGGCGAGCAGTCAGCCGAGGGACCCTCGCAGGGATGGATGGAAGATTTCAAGCAATTCAAGAAAGACCAAGGCAGCGAGAGGAGACCAGGTGCGGCGGCACCTCGGGTGGGAGCCGCGGCGCCGTCGGAGCTGCAGTCCTCACTCTGGACGACAACAACGAGCGGCGGCCGGCGCAAGAAGCGCAAGGGCGCGCTAACAGACAAGACGGGGCACTCGATGACCTCGGCATCTCTGGTACGGACCGAGGGGCTTACCCTCCTCGATGCCCGGTTCGAACGGATCGAGGAGGAGTACACCACAGACTTTGGTGACGACGAGCTCGGTTCCGTTGTGTCTGGGATGTCAACGGCGTCGAGCGTGCAGGGACCGATGCGGTCGGATTTCGACGGCATCCTGGACGACTTCCTTGGCGCGCAGCCGAATAGAGGAGGGAAGAGGGGAAAGAAGCACTACAAGGGTGGTCTGGCGGAGCTAGAGGAGATTAGGAGGGGTCTTGGGCCGGCGAGGATCTCAACTCGGTGATGAAATCGAAAGAAATTTGTGTCGGATGACTTGGGTGGGCCATAGACCTCAAGATCTTGTGATTACGAAGCCAATCCTTTTTCCTAGCTACGGCGATGTTGAGGGTACGGAAGATCCTGCTCGGTGTGAAAGGAGTTGTAGCCGGGGTAGCGGCCCTGTGGTGTAGGCATTATGCTATAGGCGCTTGTTAAGGGGCACCTAGGCGCCGTGCCGCACGTAAGTGCCCCTTCCTTATGATGGAGATCTTACGATCTGGGCCAAAGCCAAACCCACACCATGAAGGCCAAGATCGCCAGGACCCGCGCAGTTAATAATCGTTAAAAGGCGTCAGACGGATGCTAGAATCCCCTCTGCTTCCTTTTACGTTCAAGTAGAATCTCCGTTCGTAGTGCTAATAGACAGTACCCTTTTGTGGTCTCGTCCACGACTCTGGCCGTGACAGAGGCTGTGGATAGCTATGTCTGTATAGATGGGCCTATGCAGCCCTTCTAACTGGACATAGTCCTATATCTGCTGGGAATGGGATCATCTTGGTAGATCTCAGTACCTTCGGGAAGGGCACTCATACTAATTGACATCTAGCAAACCTGCTTTAATTTTTTTCCCGCACGTAAGGAGAAGAAGTATTAACCAGAGAGCAGGCCCTGGGAACGAAACGGCATTTGGCAACCCCATTCGCACAGTGCTACTTGTTGCTCGCTTTCTAACTGGTCGTCTATTTTTTTTATCTATCTGCCGGGCGAGTCTCGTAGTTACTAATTACCTATGTTTGAAGTCCCTGCCTGCCAATATCCTCATTTTCCAAACTTAATTCTTCGATGAATAAGAATGCAAGGAAGCCTATAGCCCCTATCCCGGTAAGCGTGAGGAAGACGGCCATAAAAGAGACCCTGTAAGCCTCGATCACTTCAGTATAAGTCGGGAGGGAGCTATGAAGAAGACGGAGGTGGGGGATGAAGACAACTGTTTCGCGAACGTCGGCGAAAATGACCTGGAAGGAGAGGATGAGGCAAAGCAAGCCACCGTTGACGACGGCGCCGTGCAAAAAGGCGCCCGCCAGTGTCGCAACTGCGGTGCGGTTCTTGAAGATGCGGTACGGGAAGAGCGCGTGCGTCGGGCGGGCCTCGTAGAAGCCGAAGGCGACTAGGGTCAGCAGTCCTAGTATTAGGGGTACCAGCGTCTGGTACGACGACCAAGGGTAGAGAGCGCCGGCCCAGGACAGCGGCAGCGAGAAGAGGGTGCTGCCGGCCACGAAGAGCGCCATGCTAGCCTAGTCAAGGCTGGCTAGCTTCTCGCCGAGCCCCGTTTCCAGCGTCTTTAGCCGAAAGAAAAAGAAGAACAGCACAAGCCCAACAAAGCCGATGGGGAGGTTGATCCAGCCGATCTAGCGCCAGCTCGCGTACTCGGCCAGGGCGCCGCCGACGATGGGGCCGCAGATGGCGCCGCCGGCCATGGGGATGGAGAAGAGGCCAAAGTACAGCGCGCGCTCCTTGAGGCTGGTGATGTCGGCCAGGACGGCCTCGCTCAGCACGTCGAGCCCGCCGCCGCCCAGGCCCTGGAGGGTGCGGCCGACGATCAGGGTGGGCATGTCACCGGCCAGGGCGAAGGCGACGGACCCGGCCATGAAGACGAAGAAGGAGACGTAGAGTGGGATTTTGCGGCCCAAAACGTTTGACAGCGAGGTTGTGATGGGCATCACGGCCACGAAAGCGAGCAGGAAGCAGAGGCTCGCCTAGAAGGCCTCGAGGGTGGTGCCGTGCAGCTCGCGGGCTATCACCTGCGGATGGGACGTAAAAGTTGGCATTAGCAGGAGAGTCGTTGGACTGGGCGGTGGACAAGAAAGGAGCAGACAGCATACCGGCACCGCCACCGACAGCGCGGTGGAGTCGAGCGAGACGAGCAGCACGCAGATGGTGAGTGCCAAGAATGTCATGTAAAACGACAGTGGCTTCTTCTTCTGGGAGCTGGAGGGCTCGAAAAGCTCGCCCACAAGAGTATTGCTGCTGCCTGGGGGCAGTGGTTCATCCCCTTGGACATGGGGAGCACCTCCCCGTCGCTAGCCTCGGTCGGTGGCAAGTCGGCTATTGATACAAGGACGGTCGCGGGCGGGTGGTGGCCTGCCGTGTATTTTTCCTTTTCTCGGACATCATACGTAGGTTGGGACTTGGTGACGGCTGGCTCAGCCATTCCCAAGGCAATTGGTAACACACAACAGGTAGCGAGCGTAGGGGGACAGCGGTGAGGACGGTGGAGGACAACAGGAGTCACGAGAAGGGCGTTGTCAGACAACAGCGCGGCGGCAGGAGATCAAGTGGCAATGTCAAGTGCAAACGGATTAGCGGGGGTCGACACTATCCCTTCCTTGCAGGGAGCAGAGACCAACGGCGTGCTGGGCTGGTCACACAGCAAGACCTCGATGGCTCCTAGGCAGGGGGCGTGCAGCACCAACGCTCGTGCGGTTCCAGACTTGGCGGAGCCCGCTAATGTGTTCAACAGCAAAGCGCGGACTCGGGTGGCAAACCAATCACGATGTCCCGCATTGGGCGCTACGAGTATCCCGCGACTGCGCGCGGGTGGCGTATCAGCTTCCCCGAGGAGGGCACCCACTAGCAGCAACCACCGGCCCGCTCAAGGCGAGGCGTCCTGCCATTCTCGACCTCATCACGCCGGCGATATTACCTGGGAGGCCACCCGCGTCAGCCACTTTATTGTCGCGCCAATCCGTTCGCTTTTGTACGGGCACTCAGCCAGGTACTCGGTGTGGTGTTGGTAGACTCGGAACACAGTGCGAGATATTTCAGCTTGGTCCCACAGTAGTGCCAAGGAACGGCGAATAGCTTGACTGAACGACATGTCCTTTTGCGGCCGGACCTACTATTTCGTCACATTTTGTTGCTGCTTCGTCCCATCGAGGAAATGCGCAAGGCCGAATGGGCTGACTAGTTATAAACACCGCGTCGATATGCCCACCTTGGCTTATATGTGGCAGCCATGGGGATGCATCTGCAAGATAACTTCCTAGATAAACATGTGAAAAGGTTCTTTGTCAAGTCCTCAAGTTCTCCGTATCCCTCTTGCACACCTACCCTCTTGAACTTTCTACGCATCGCCCTGTCTATGTTGTCACTGTTTTTGGTGGTTGGGTAGTCCACTTATAGGACTCCAGCTCCCTGAGACTGCAAGTAGTCCATCTTGTTTCCTAGTTGGTGAAACGGCGTCACACTATTGGGTGGTACAGCTGCAGCCACTGGGTTTCCGTCAGCATGCGGATTGGTGGTGGCCGAGGATATTTCGCCATCACCAGACAGCTTCCATTTTCAGCATTTTCCTCTACAGTGCGCCGAGCAAGACGACTATGTACTCTTCCTCCTCACCCACGTCGGCTAAATTCTCGAAGCGAGCGTGGCACATCTATGAACCCGGTGCCAGCGAGCTCCGAGGTCGTTTGTATGCATATTAGAGCAGCCGTCGAGATAGCCCAAGTGTTGGAGGATTCTCGAGGAGTTGGAAAGGGCTGTATCAGGTGCTGACACTCACCGATCAAGATGGTAACCGTAGAGGCCGACTGGGCCCATCCAGAGAAGCAAGAGACGAAATAGAAGATAAAAATGCATGCCGCGACCTCCATTACACCGTTGAAATGATACCCGTAGCTGTCGTGCGCACACGTGAGGTTTGGCTTGGCTGCAACTCACACAACACTTGCTTTTATTACCACCTCATCAACCGAGGCCGCAGATACAGCATATCAGCCAGCTGCCTACGGCTGCGAGTCCCTAGCTGCCGGGAACGGCTCAGCCACGGCGACCTCTACTGGTAGCTCCAATGCAACTCTCCTCAAGTCTTTTACTCTCAGCGGAGCCATGACGCTGGTCACAGCGGCCTCGCTGCCGACGGCGTCCGTCTAGTCCGCCGCTGCGGCCAGCCCGTTTACACCGGTAGCCATCTGCGGCATGGTCTGCCGCTTCCCCTCGGAGCTGTGGAACTTCCTGCTGGCCAAGGGGGCGCGCTGTTGGAAATGCCCGAGCGGCACTTCAGCCTGGCGGGCCACTACCAGGACCTGGGCAGAAGCAAGAGCCGCCGCAAGCCCGAGACGGCGGTGGCGAAGCACGGGTACTTCCTGGACCCGGCCGTCGGCCCCGGCGCGCTCGGCACGTCCTTCTACCCCATGCCCAAGAGCGAGATCGAGCAGCTGGAGCCGCAGGCCAAGCAGCTGCTCGAGGTGGCGCGCGAGTGCCTGGGCGACGCCGGCGAGGTCGGCTGGCGCGGCACCAAGGTCGGCGCCTATGTCGGCAGCTTCAGCAACGACTGGTACGACCTGCACAACAAGGGCGAGAGAAAGTATGGCATGTACCGGGTCAGCACAATCCACCACTTTACATTTTCCAATCTGCTGCCGTAAGAACTGGACCTGAAGGGATCCATGTTAGTGTCTTTTCTGATTCCACTCTTTCTTGACAGTTATTTTCTTCGCTGGCTGGCCCTCGAAAGCTAACCCTCGTCCAGCGCCATCATCCGCACCACATGTTCATCCAGCCTCGTGGGCCTGAACGAGGTTTGTGCCACCGTCGCCAAGGGCTACTACTAGTCAGCCATCGTGGGCGGGACCAGCATCATCCTGGCCCCGGCCCTGACGACGGCCACGTTGAAGCAGGGCGGGCTCAGCACCGATGGGTCGTGCAAGACCCTCTCCGCGGCGGCCAACGGCTACGCGCGCAGCGAGGCCATCGTGACGCTATAAATCAAGCAGCTCGCCGACGACGTGCGTGAGGGTAACCCGGTGCGGGCCGTAGTTGTCGGCGCGGTGGCAAATAGCGACGGCCGCGCCTGCATCGGGTATGGACGACGACGGCGGTGACAATGAAAAAGACGCGCTGGCCGCCGCCGCCTCCCCGCATCTCCTGCTGTCCTCGGCAAACAGCCAGCAGTCGCTCAAAGACATGATAGGCCGCTACCAGGCCTTTGCTAGCCGTGCCGAAGACGGCGGCGGCAAGCGCCTGAACTGAACCGATCTGGGTAACACGCTTCCCTGCCACAGAGAGCACCTGCCCGTGCGCGCGTTCACGTTGGGCACCCGTCCCTAGACCAGCACTTGCGAGACCTCATGGAGTCGGCAAGGGGTAGGGGCACAGACTCTGATGCGAATCGAGATATCCCCTACTGGTGGTCCACCGAGGAGGACCTGCTCGAGCCCGCGCGGACCAGCCGCGTCAACGAGGCCGAGCTCTTCCAGCCCCAGTGTACTGCTCTGCAGGTGGCCCTCGTCGACAGCCTGGCCGAGGTGGGCATCGCCTCGTTGGCAATCGTCGGCCATGCTGCCGCGGACTCGCTGCCAAGCAGCAGACACTCAATGGAACTCTCGGGCTACACGCCCGGCTCCTATCGCAGAAGGGGCCGAGGTCGAGGTGCGGGCTACGGGCCTGAATTTTAGGGCTAGTAACGGACCGGGGGGTTGTCGCACGCAACAAGGCAGCTGCTAACCAGTCGACACTGGATTCATGATGTCTTCGTGGCCATGGACATCACTTCCTTCCCCGAAAGCGGGCCGTACTTCCGGTATGAAGCCTCAGGGGTTGTGAGGTGTGCCGGCGCCGATGCCAAAAAGGTCCAAGCGGGAGACCGGGCCGTCCTCAGAGGCATCAAGACCTTCTCAACCGTGATCATTTCGACGGAGCTGCTGGTGGCGGCGCTCAAGCTGGCCACGCCGCCGAGACCCGATGACGGCGGCGGCGGCAGCGGCGAGGACGAGGAAGAATTAAGGCCATCGTCGACAGGCACATCATGTTCTTCGGCATCACACCCGATCCGCCCCTCGGCAGCTCCAACAGCAGCGCCCGCCGATGGCCGTCTTCCGCAACGTCGGCGGCGCGGGCGAGGGCGGCGGCGTCGGCCGACAGGCGCGGGCAAGCAGGCCGATTCGCTGTGGGCCTTTATGGCCAAGGCCGACCCGGTTCTGCTCAAGACCCCCGAGGCGGACACGTTCCTGCCGCGCGAGATCGGCAAAAAGGTGTTCGTGCTGCTCATGGGGCTTGACCAAGAGCCAAACATTTATTCTTCCTTGGCCGAGGTTGGGTTGGGCTCGATGGTTGATGTCGGGGTGCGCGCGTGGTGGAAGGGCGTGTTTGGGCATTCTATCAGTTCTCGACGTGCTGGCCATGGGAACGCTTGAGGCGCTGGGATAACGTGTTGCGGAAGAACTCGATGATCCGTATTTAGGCGTTGTGTCTTTGTGCCTAATGGCTTCAGAATGATCTTCCTGGCTTCCATGTGCTCTAAGGGCGTTAGTAGATTGGGTACGCTGATGTCTATTGCGTCAGAGACCAGACCTTGGCGGATGATGCAAGCTGCTTCGTACCGATCACCTTGGGCTCAGCAAATCATAAAGACGACGAAGAAGTAACTGTGGACCAAACGAATTAGAGGGAATATGCGCGTATGTAACAAGAGAGCTTTGAGTGATGGAGGTCCAAGCTAATGAAGCCAGATAGAAGCGAAAGTTTTTGCGTTGTATGGTATCGAGCAATTCGAGCTGGAAGTCGTGGCAGAGTGTATCTTTTTCTGCCCTCCATATTATTGCTAGCTTGCCATGGGTGCCTAGTGCTGCTCCATTTCGGGAGGTAGCCAGCTCTCACCGCCGGAGAGTGCTCGGCCTTCACACCTGATATCAGGTGGAGGGCCTTGAGCCTCCCACTTCTTGACCTCAATGATACCTCCACCCGCAAGTCTGCTTGCTTAAAATGTCCCTGTTCATTGGGCCTGACGCTTAGCTGCTCTGGGGACGGCGCACCGGGAGGAGGAGCCCCCGATGCTTCCGAAGGGGTCTCGTGCTCAACGGTCCTTGCTCAGGCCCCAACACCTCCAGCCGGCAGGAGGCAGCTGCAGGCAGAACTGGAGCTTGCACCGCAGTCATACCCCAATTCGCTGGCCTGGCCCCCCTTACTGCGTTGACTTACTTGCCCTTCCTCCCCCCACCCCACAAAACCAAAATCCTCACCCAGAACAAACAAGAACACAAACAAAAACATCGCCAGCAAGACGATAGAATCGCCATGAGGAGCACCTCGCCATCAAGTGAATGATGGCGGGGTGCTCTACAATAATTATAGCACTACTTCAATCTCTTTATCCTGATGGACTCGAGGCCATACACCGCACAGCTTTTCATCGTATGGCTACGTTCCGCCCCATCGCAGCAAGCATTTCCAGCATCAGGACCGCTCTCGATGGTCAAAGGCCCATCGCAAGCCTAACTACCTGTAGGTCTCCCCCTTGCGAACAAGCATGACCAGTCGAAATGCATTCGAGCCCACCCTCTACTTCTCTTGTCAATTATTGTGCGCGGCGGTTGACCGTCGGCGACACTTCCATCGTCTCACTTCCATCTCCTCAACTCCCCATTCCCCAGCCGCCTTCAAAGCACCAGGTCTACCCATCACCGGGGGCACTTATAATGCCACCACAAAACCGAAGAGCTAACACGCTTTCGTTTGAGGCCAGGCTGATAGAGAGCGTCGACCACAGGGACCTCTGCAATCTGATAACGATATCATCTTCAATGCATGGTAGTAGGTTAGCTGAGCCCTATACCTCCCACAGCTGAAGGCTCCGTTGCAAAGGCCGGCCTAGGGGAGCCATGTGAACAGCCTGTCGTCGCCTCGACTAACAGAATAATCCGGCCTCAAAGGACGATGAAATTGACTGATAAGCATCTTTTAATAGAACTGCGAAAAGTCGCCCTCAAGACTAGAGAAGCGAAGCCGAAAAACTAGCCGATGTGGCCCAGATTCAGTTCCAAGGTTGCTTTAGCGCTATCCAGCACACGTCCAAGGACATGAGCAAAGAGAAGGTTTTCGGTCCATGGCGAGATCAAGAGCCTGCTGCGCGACCCGTTCGCCAACTATGTCATACGGAGGTTACGCATGATTCCTGACGGTAGCTTCGATCATGTTGGCAAGTATGTGAGTAAAGAGGGCTACCAAAGTCATACCGCGAAAGCCTCAAGACCAAGACAGGAAAGCCGTGGTGAGTACACAATGGAAAGCCCCCAGACGTCCCCAGCAGTATCACCGGTAAGACACGTTTCGAGTTACAGTATCAACATAGAAGAGTTTCGAACTGAAGCTGATAGTCCACCTGAAAACAGAAGCTAGGCAACACGAGCGGCGAGGCAGTTGGTTGTTTGCATTGGTGTGCTCGGAAGGATGAGTAGAGGGAAGAGTAAGAGGCCCCTACAAGCTCATACACATCTTTCTAGCTCACCACCCATCGAATCACGCACCAACGCAGATGACCAGCCGCAAGTTTCACTGCCATATCCACGCGCAACCCCCTAACTTGCCACGAGACCAGGCTGGGGCTGCGCTAGGTTGGGCTAGAACAGACTAAGCTCCAGAGGGTCAAGAAGGAGATCTACAAGGCCAGCATCTTCTATGAAAAAAAGCATCAAGGGTTTGTTATCAACCCAACTGGACACCAGTCTTGGGTGAGCCAGAGCCAGAACAACGATCCCGCCAAGATTACGAGCGACGATTACGGCCAACAGCGAGGCGACCACCCAGGCAATCGATAACCAGACTCAAACCACCATTCTGCGGCACATGGACGTGCTCGCAATTGGAAGGAGTACGGACATGAAATCACTTTCAATGTCCTCAACTCCGGATCCGGTAGACGGAAGCAGCACCAAGGGGCACAAGCGTCGTTGAATTAAGACAGTCACGTGGCAATAGCCAAACGGGAGCCGACAGCACAAGCACTGTGGACGGTAAGCACAGACCATGACTCTCTCGCACAGACCAACCCTGAGTCGTTCGCCCGCAAGCGGCTCCACATAGGCGGTGTGCAGTGGCAGCCAGGACCCACTTAGAAAACAGTCCAACGGGACAAGGCGCGCGAGCTGACCATCGAAGCTCGACACCAGAAACAGCCCCTGCGACAACCGTACGACAGCTTCACGACCCAACACCCAGCGACGACACGAACGCCGGGGCATCGGCTGCAGCGTAAACGACCGCAACATACCGGAAAATCCCCCCGACGACACCGCCCGAACTCGAGTATTCCAATGGTCGTCCTCCGCCGTCGCGTCCATGGCTTTCAGCGGAGGTAGCGCGGGGGGCATAATGGCTGGACAGAGCCCGAGTCCATTCGCCCAGTCTGGGTTTGGGGGTAAGTGTGTCCTGCCCCTATGTGCCCCTAAGGTGTCCTGTCGCCGGGAGATGATGAACGCTCCACGATCTGGGCTCCGCCGCCCGCCCTAGCCTTTGTTTTCTGCCCTCGTCGCCCTGCCACGACAGCGCAAAAAAATCCCCAGGAAACGAGGAGAAGCGACGCGTATTCCTCTCCGCATCTCTTCCTGCTGTCAAAACCCACGCCCGAATTCTCCATCAAAACCCGCGCCCGAGCTTTGCCCTCGAAATCCCTTCACTTCTGAGCTTCACCCTCAAAAAGTCGATCGTTGCGCGCGCACTCTGTCGGGCACCACCCCGGATCAACCCGCTATCGACTCAATCGCGCTGAGGCCGAAGCCTGGGGAAAACGTCGAGCGCCTAGCCTGCAAGCGCGCCGAGGACCCGGACTGTTTCCGCGCTCTCGGGGCGAGGTTGGCGGCGCGTCGCGGTGCGTCGACTTGGCATAGTCCACTCGAGGACTCCAACGCGGACAACTTTTTCCTTTTGTCCACTGGCTGCTCAACAAGCACTGGACACGACAAACAAAGACCGCCAAGCCGCCCAGCAGCGCATCAGCCCTCCTTCACAATCACACCGAAAGCAGAGAACAAAGGCACTTTGGCGCGGCGGAACAAACCCCCAAAGGCCGACATACTGACGCAAGATCGCGCAGGGAGTCCATCTCCAAACCCGGCCGCGAACCCGTTCGCTAGGAATTCCTTTGGCACAACAACTACATCGACCCCCTTCGGAGCCCAGACTACGTCAACACCTTTTGGATCGGGACCCTCTGCGCCCTTCGATAGCCAGCAGCCCGCGACGACACCTTTTGGGGCACAGTCTTCCACTACCTTTGGCGGCCAGGCCTCGCCAAGTCCCTTCGGCAACCAGCAGCCCACAACGATGGTCTTCGGCGGCTCGAATGGATTTGGCACCCTCTCCCAGAACTCGAACTTCAGCAATGCTATGTCTCAACCAAACGTGGCCAGCAGCGCATTAACCCCCAGTCCGTTTGGACAGCCTTCAGCATCTTCCAATCCTACACGGTCAGGTTTCGGGAGTGCACCGAACCCCTTCAACAGCCATAACCAAACGGACCACAATATGAGGCGGGGTAGCACCAAGAAGAATAGGAAGCCGAACTTGACGGAGTCTTTGGCGAAGAGCGGCACTTTCGTCACAGAGGGTGCTAATGGTGAGCCAAGGGTAACCAAGGGCAACCCGTCAAATGCGCCCCCAGGCTCCAACAATCCTGTATCGAACTCGTCGCTCCAGAACCCCTTCCAGAAGCTCAGCGACGCCCAGGTCGGACCCGCATCCGCAAAGTCCAAGCAGGGGAGCATTGCCAGGTTCACCGCGGCAGCTCCAATTGCGACACTGGAGGAGTATGCGACGGCAGTCAAAAACCAGCTCAAGAAGGATGGGGTAGCGGACCTCATCATTCCAGCTGATCTCTTCGACCCCAAGAAGCGCCCGCAGGCCATCGCATTCAGACAGAAGCACCTGGAGAGCCACCAGAACAAAGTGAGGGCGTCGTTGGAGAGGGGTGGTCTGATCGATATCAGAGACAAGCAAATTCGCATCGAGGATGCCGTCGACTTCCGAGGCACGTGCGAGGACATGTGCCCAGTTTACGAAGTGGTCACCAGACTCGCCGAGAACCTCGCCTTGATCGAGGAACGAGCGGAGGGCCCAGATGGCACACCATGGGCGGTTAGGGACATGTTTGTCAAGCGCCACGCCCGCTCATCTGCCGGCGAGTCGTCTGTCCTACCAAACGAGGTGCGCACAATCGGTGCTCTCGAGCGAACAACCGCCTACCTGCTCGACCAGGTGCTTCAAGGGGAGCACAACCTACGAGATCGCCATGCGTTCCTATGGGATCGCCTTCGAGCCATCCGACGCGACTTCACTTTCCAGAGTCGGATGTTACCTGAGGAAAGCTTGCGCATGGTTCACGTTCTTGAAACCATCGCGCGCTTCCACGCCATCTCGCATCATCTCCTTGCGCGGAAGGGCGCCGCGAATGTCGAGTACTCGGCGCAGCAGGAGCGTGAGGCATTCCAGAAGACACTCATCTCGCTCAAGGCTGCGTATGGCGATCTACACAAGCAGGGTATCAAATGCGAGAACGAGCCCGAGTTTGTCGCCTACTGGATCATCTTCTTCGCCAACGACGCTTCGGACATCCTACAGATCGAGAAAGAGATGATGACCCGAAACTGGGGATCCTCTAACCAGGTGCAGACGGCCATCTCGCTGGTCCAGGCGCGTCTGGAACACACAACGCCGCTTAGGGCCAAGCTCAAGAACCACAATCAAAAGAAGTACCTCTACTTCCCAAGCTTGGCTGTCGGCGCGGCTACAGCCTACTTGGACATAGTGGCAGATCGCTCTGTGTCCTTCGCCATGGCCTGTGTGGCCGAGATGAGCTTTAGCCTGATCCGGTCGGTGCATCTTCGCAAGCTCGTAAAGGCCTGCGCGCGAGGCCGGGACTCCCCCAAGGACGTCACCCCAGCGAGTCTGCAAAAGCTCTTAAGGTTTGACACAGAGCAGGAGGCAGTCGAATTTGTGAAGGAGCGAGGTCTCAAGTTCTCCGATGACGGCAGTCACGTCTTGGTCATGAGAAACCAGCCGTTGCCAGGCGTATCTACCGATGCCGTCTTCTCGCAATTCGTCGAGCGAAAGCGTTGCAACCGACCGCTTCTAGAGGTTATCCGGAACAACGTTTTTGAGGAGGATGTGCCGTCGGACACGGTCGGGGCCAGAGCTCCAAACAGTCCAGAGGGCATGTTTGTCGATGACTTCCCTGAAAGCCCGGCGAAGACACCAGCTGCACCTATCAGCGCCAAGCCAGACACAACACGGGCTAAGAACCCCCCAAGCAAGCCACCGAAGAATCCATTCCATTCCGCCAATACCCCAGCCTCAATCACGAGCCCATTTGGCCAAGCATCATCAGCCTTTCCCCAGGCCCCACCCCTAGGACCATCACAAGGGAACTCCATCAAACCATCGCTTATAGGCACCGTAGTGTCAAAGTCAACTCAATCTCCAACTCTGGGTCCGTTCGGTGCTTCTATGGGAAGTACCACCTCGAGCAGCTGGGCGGCATCCACTACACCTAAGCCAAACCCCTTTGGCGCTCCCTCTGCTGTGGGAGTTGGACTAGCGGGTCCTGCAGCAAGCAATGCACCCAAGACGAATCCCTTCGCCACAGCCGTGCCTTCACAGCTGCCATCAGCGCCCTCAGGAACGCCACCAAATACAGTCTCGCAGCTTCTGCAGAACAATGCGGGATCTCCGGCGCCAGCGGCCCCATCCCTAGCTCTAGGACAGGGTCTCGGTCCGGGATCTGCAAGCAGCATTTTTGCCAGCTCGCCATCCCCGCTCCAACCAGCCCAATCTGCGCCGCCAACTACGTCCATAATCCCCAGCTCTACGCCAGCTCCGGCGTCCCTCTCCCAAACCATCCTCGGACCAGGTATTGGGGTTGACAAGCAGCAGGAGGAGCCCACGGCTACAGCATCGGGCATGTCACTGATGGACAAGATAGCTGCCGCTAAACAAAAGAATGGGTTTGTAGCAGAAGACCCTACACCGCAACCCGCTGCCAAGCCAGCCCCGCAGCCGCCACAGATTGACTTTCCCAAGCTCGATACCCCAGCCCCTGCCTTGCCTACTCAGTTGCCCATAGCACCTCCGCCGCCCAAAGTGGACCCGATGAAGCAGTTCACAAACTGGTTCGTGCTTGGTGACAACGGCATGATGGAGGAATTCACAGTCAGCTACACTGAGCATCTAGTTCGACAGGCCTACATGCAGTTCCTGGCTGAGGAGGAAGAGAGAAAGCGGAAAGAAGAGGACGCGAAGTCATGGGAGGACGCTCTGAAGTGGAGAAGGTACAATCTCGGCCTCAAGTTCTTCTATCGCTGGCGTCAAATCGCTCGCAACAAAGCCCTGGGCCGTCGCGCGATAGAAGGCCGGGACCTCATGAGAAAGTTCAGAGAGTCTCAGCTGGCCCAAGCAAAAGCAGACAAGGAAGCCGCCGCTAAAAAGAAGAGGATCGAGGAGACAAAGCGTGCCAAACAGCTCGAGACAGACGCGGGTAACTTTGCAGAGAGTCTCTGGTCCTTGCAGCATCAACAGCTCAACCGAAAACGGAGCCCATCGGAGGACGACATTCGCGATGACGATTCGGTAGCCGACGCTCTTCTTGGACCTCGATCCCCGTCAGTCAGCTCTGTTCAGGAGAAAGGCAAGGGCTATCGTCTTAGGCACTGGAAGGACACCATCTCTAGATCAGCTTCGCGTGTCCGAGACGGTGCCATGGCCGTATTTTCGTCAAGCGTCAAGGAATCGCGCTATCGCAGTACCGAAAGGGATGACAGCAGCCGCAGTCCCCCATCTCGCTCTGCAAGTCTAGGCCGTTCGCTCCCCCCCAGAAACCGGAGTACAAACTTCTCTGGAATAGCCAAGCGGACCGCATCTCCTGCGAACGAGGAGGCCGACAGGCTGAAGCGTCCCCGAAGCATCGGACTCAAAACCAGCCACTTCAGACTCAGGGCCATGGGAATGATCCATATGCCCAATGGACAGTACCTTCATGAGTCCATCGCCAAGCCCATGATTGAGGGCAAGCGGTTCCCGGGCTTTGGAGACTACGGCCTACCGCCCGTCGTCAATGGAGAGAGCGGTGCGGTCGAGGAAGCCCACTCTCCCCCTGTTGAGAACTCCTCGCATGTCCATACGAGGAGCTTGAGCTGGCGTACGCACGTGCCGCGCGTGTCGTCAGCATCTAGCATCCGTAGTGCCATTCTCAACGGCGAGAGCCGTACGCCACCGCCGCAGCATCACAAGCGGAAGCGGCTGGCCGCGGCGGACGGTGGCGGAGACGACGCCATGTCGATCAGCAGCATCAATCACCAGCAGCTCCGGGGCGACACGGGCTCGCCGTCCTGTGTCAAGAAGCAGCGGACGGACTTTGCCGAGACTGAGCGCATCATCCAGGAGATGCGCGAGACCGGTGCGCTAATGGAGGAGGGCGAAGCCTGGTACCGGGAGCAGAGCGAGCTCATGGGCAGGGGCCATACCCCTTGGTCCTAGGCTGGGCAGGATCGTCTTTTATTTCCTTCCAAGCTTTTACGTTCCCCAAGCAACTTTTCCCTCTGTCTTATCATCACTGTATACTCTATTACCAGCATGTTGGCCTAGCATATCAAAGCCTTTTTCGCTTTTTCTCTCGAACCATGTCAAACCGCCTGAAGAGGGCTGGATCTCGGGGGTTTTTTTTTCTGTGAGTTTAGTTTGGCGTTTAGGAGAAGGCGACGCATGGAAGCTCTCGGGGTAGACGGGGAGAAAAAAAAACTCCCTTGCTCGGGCTGACACTTGACCTGAGCATCCCAAACCCTATTTTGCCTCCCGTCATATTGTTTGCTGCTTGCCATGGGATAGCCTGGCCGTCTTTGCCGCCTCTTATGTGATGTGTGGGTCCTGATCTCTCGTGTGGTTTAGAGCTGACAGCGTACGTATAGCATTTCCCCGTTTCAGTTGCCCTAATGAATTGGCTGACCATTGGTGGACACCTAACGGAACGGGAAAAGGCTCTTACTATCCCGAAGTTGGACGAAGATTATCCTAACCCAACAGCCGCGCCACATCGCCGCCAAGCCCACCCGTTAAAACGCTCTGTTCAAGATAGATGTCCCTGCCTGACCCATGCCCCAGCTACTTCGCTGCCGGGCTGTGGGATTCGTGACTAGCACTTTAAGCACCACGCCCCGCGAGGCCGCTTCCACCTCCTCCATAACCCTCCGAGTCCTGGAATACCACGAGGGTATCCTCTTCCTAACCACCAACCGTGTCGGCGTTTTCGACGAGGCCTTCAAGTCGCGTATCCACCTGCCGCTTTACTACCCGTCGCTGGAGTGGAAGTACTCCGAGAAGATTTGGCGCACTCACCTGCAAAAGCTCGAGCGGAGCTGCCTGATCGAGGTGGACGTGGAAGACATCCTGGCCTACGCCGAAACCTTCTTCGAGCGCCAAAAGGCCCGCGGCTCCAAGATTGGCCCCGTGTGGAGCGGCCGGCAGATCCGCAACGCCTTCTAGAGCGCCGTGGCGCTGGCTGGCTACAACCCAGCCGAGGGTGACGGCGGGGGCGGGGGTGGGCGCATCCGCATCGAGCGCTGGCATTTTGACCGCGTCTCCCAGGTGTCCAACGAGTTCAACCACTACATCTGGAGCATCAAGACGCAAACCGATGCCGACAAGGCCGAGCGCTATGGCTATCGCTTCGACCAGTACCGGGCCGACGAGACGATCCACATGAAGCCCGTGGTGCATCCCGAGGCATCGGGCCAGGGAAGCGGCGGGATATCGTTTGGGCAGAAGCTAACTGACATGGCGCAGGGCGGCGGCGGGCCATCTCTCATGAACAGCCGCCTGGGCTTCTCGGGGCTCTCGCAACAGGGCTTTTCGAGCCAGCAAGCGATGCCGCACAATTTCGCGCAGCAACATCAACAGGGATTTGGGCAGCATGGATTCGGGCAACCCCAGGGCTTCGCGCAGCAAACTGGATTCGGGCAGCAGCAAAGCTTTGCCCAGCAACAAGGCGCTGGACAACCGCAAGGCGCTGGACAGTAGCAAAGCTTTGCGCCGCAGTAAAGGTGTCACGAAGCAATCTCTGGGCTAGGGAAGAACGATGTAGATTAAGCTCGGCTTGCGGCCACGGCTCTCTTGTACACCCATGTAGTCGGGTTGGCCTTCCAGGAGCAGATTTGCCACAACCGCGCCCGTATGTAGCCGTTTGGCGCCACGCTCCTGCTGCCACTGCAGCCGTGCCGTGCAGTAGCCAGCATTTTCTTTAGCAGTGACTTCCACCATGTATTTGTATGTCGTTACACGCACCGCCAGTTAGCCCAACGATGGCACACTGGGATTGATCGGCCCGCGAATGCTTGAAACGGCAGTGGCGCTTAGACCGTGATGTCGCAAGGGGCCACGAGGCGCGGCGACTTTGAACAGAACACCTCGCTCACTGTCCGATCAGGCTTTCCTCTTGTAGTATTCTCCCACAAATACCCGCCGTCGTGGCTGTTGACTAAGAATACAAAGGACATCGGAAGACACTGACCCATCAGGGACGCTTCACGGCCAAACAATTGGGGCGAGGACTCCTCTTGGGCAGCCCGAAGGAGACCTAGGCACAAATCGAGCTATTTTCATTACTGTAGGGGTGAAATTTGTTTATCATCACAGACTCTAACCACCGCCACCACGACGCTTCCCAAAGCCAACGCCATTTCCACCCAAGAATAAGGATGAAGGAAAGACAAGAAAGCAAACGGCCGGGGACCAGGGTGTAAAGAAAAGCCGACAGGCCGGATCGAAAACCCTCCAAGTCCCCTTGTTCACCGTTCATGGCATGGTATCCGCACAGAAATTACAAAAATATCTTGTAAAAAAAAAGACCCGGCGGTCAAAGAAGGTTCAACGAGCACCCCGCTAGCATCAGTGGTCCCCGATACGGAGCGTGTAGGGCGAGCTCGACCTCGTCGTGGCGGCGGTGTGGAACGGCCTCGCCGGGTCGGACCTCTGCGACGACACGCCGCTCCGCCTGCTGATGGCCGACTCGCCGTCGCCGCGCGCCCTGCTCTTTGCTGGGACTCCCGGCGGCGGCGGGCCGGCCATCAGCACGTCGGCCAGGGACCCCGTCAGCGCGGCCTTGCGCGCGTGTGCCGCCGCCGCCGCCGCCGCCGCCGCTCCTCCACGATGCGACTGGCGGCTCGCGACCTGCGCGGCG